TTCGATCTCGATAAAACAGGTTAGCTGTAATTTGAACCCTAAAACAATGTCGCGTGAGGTTGTTGAACTCGCCTTGGCTAGTAGCTTCCTAGAGTGAGTCATGGGTAAGTGTTTTTAATCGTAGACATAAACAAAATTTATGTGTAAATTTTTCGGTCGCCATAGTCACAGGAGATAATCATTTTTATTTGAAACTTTGTTACAAAAAAACACTTAGAATAATTAAAAGGCCGGCAACTCACTTGGGAGCCTCCATGGGCGTTGGTGTTACTTATATATAAAAAAGACAGCCATATCACTTTCGTTGTTGTTGTATATGTTAAAAAAAAGATTCCAATAGAACGTATTTGTAAGGGTTTTCCTTCCGGGGGCCCTGGAAGAGAACTGTTGTATATGTTTAGAACGTTGCAATATTTATTCATTAAAATGTAGTATTCAAGTTTGTTAAGTTGTAATTTGATTGATAATTTTAGCATGCAAGAATAATTACCAAAATTTTGTAAATGTTTTCAAAACTGGTTTCAAATAATTTGAAGCATATTTAAAATCATAATCATTAGGTAACACAATGTACACTTATGAACGTCAATAAATAAATACATATTAAATGCTTCTAAATTTACATTTACTGCCAGTTTTCAAATGAAGGGCGTAGAACGGACGAGTTAGGATAGGATAGGATATATAATTTAGTTAGCAGAGTTAAAAAAATACTTTTAAAAAATGGAATAACACAAAGCTTAAAGATGAATAAAACGATGTAACGCAGGACAGACAATTAGAATGTTGTAATGGTCAACTCAAACGCCATAACAGCGGTTATTTCTACGTATTTAGAATATATTATGATGTCTCACAGTCACGCCTGAATGTTAACTATGGGTTTATGAGAATGGATATTACCACGATGGTGAGCGACGCGATTTCATTGTTAAAATATGTGTACAAATTATTTCGAAAATTATAATTTTTTTTCACACTATAGCAGCTAATAGCCAATTGCCAATGCGATAGTTGTGTAACTTAATTACCATTGAGAGCAGTGTTGGCCTTCGGCGTGCGACTCTCGACCCTGAGGTCGTAGGTTTGAACCCCGGCTGTACACCACTGGACTTTGTCTATGTGCATTTAACATTCGCTCGAACGGTGAAGGAAAACATAGTGAGAAAACCGACACGTCTTCCCAAAAAGTCGACGGCGAGTGTCATGCACAGCAGTCTTATCACCTTTTATATATATTACAATTGATAAACAGATACAGAAATCTGTCTAGACCTAAATAAAGGTTGTAGCGCCCACTGTTTTTTTTTAAATTAAACTAAAGATATTTAACGTCGTTAACTAACGACTTAACTAAGTTAGGCGTATTTAAACTTAAGTTAATTAAACAAAACAATTGAAGTATTCTAATCTAGTTGCAAACTTGACGTAACAAAAACGCTAACGCTCATAGATCCGCCTATTGCCGTCTACAAATACACCTTATTCGTATGTATGACAGTTTCGAACGTCCTTTCTCACGGCCACATACCATCGTCAATATTTGCTTAACAGTTTTCTTGTTTGTCATAAACTGCCTATGAAGTGATAAGAAACAATGGTGAGATATCTGAGGCGCCCAAATTATAGCAGTTACGTTTAAATTTAATTTCTTTACTCTATGGATTATATAGTCAATAATACTTTCAAATTCTCTTTTCATTACAGCGTTAAGAGCGTTTGACAGAAAGAAGAATACCTCAGTTAAACCCGTGTAAAAAGACTTAATTTTTTATTAAAATAAGTGCCAAAGTGTGATATGATTTTTTTAAATGTATAAAATAATAATTATGTAGTTTCTTTTATGGTCATGCTCGCAGTATATTTAGCTCAATTATAGCATAAAAAATTGTCGTAGAGAGTTCGAGTGATAAATATTTTTTATAGGTTTAATAACGCTTTTTAAGTGTTTAATTTAAATTTAAGAATTTTGCCTTAATTCGTGTTTTAAGAGTCCTTCTTACATAATAATGAGCAGTGTTGGCCTTGTGGCTTCAGCGTTCGACTCTAATCCCTGAAGTGGTAGGTTCGATCCCCGGCTGTTCTATGTGCGAATTTAACATTCACTCGAACAGCGAAGCAAATTATGATTAAACCGGCTGACCTTAGACCCAAAAAGTCAGGCTTGTGTCAGGCACATAAGGCTGATCACCTACTTGCCTCTTCGATTGGCAAATGATTATGAAACATATATGGAAATCTGAGGCCCAGACCTAAAAAGGTTGTAGCTTTATTGATTTATTTGATTTTTTTTGTTACATAATAATGCTATATGTTTATAAGAAAACACTTGTTAGGCACCGCTGGCGACAGTTACACAACGTACCTACATATTGTATTCACTGCTAACGATTTCCTATCAATTTCAGATGCACAGTAGTCCTCTACAATGTACGCAAGAACAGGCAGGCTCACGTTTTAAACGCCTCACGTAAGAGTGTCACGTGTGTTGCCTTTTCACCCGATGGACGATACCTGGCGACGGGAGAATGCGGCCATGCACCAGCAGTCCGAGTTTGGGACCTACAGGTTACAAGCTATTTTATAAAGAACAGAAACAAATTACTCAAGTTTGGAATAATAATACCGAAAGAATATCAATAGCATTGGCTCACTAGGGATTTTTTTTATTACTCACGTACAAAAATACTTTTGCTTATATTATCACGCCTTTTTCCGAAGGGCCTATCACTTGTTATGGTCCTAACATACCTCGCTCGCTTCACCCACTTTTATGTCGTTCACTATGCATGCTCCTCACATCATACAAATACAAATCATAGCTCATCTAATGTATAAAATTCTCGTGTCACAATGTTCGTTCTCATACTCCTCCGAAACGGCTCGACCGATTCTTATGAAATTTATGCATATTCAGTAAGTCATAGAATCGGATACTATATATCTTTCAAACCCCTAAGTGATAAGGGGTGTCCACCCCAAATATTTATTTTTAGACAATTTTTTTTGTTTTTATTTTTTACGTTCAACCCCATTTTGTTAGTATAGTAGATAGTTATTTTAATTGAACTAAAAAAATGTTTCCTAGAAATAATATACCTGGCAAAACGTTTGCCGGGTCAGCTAGTTATAATATACAATTATCATCTTTTAAGGTAAATTAATAATAACATTTACTTTACTATTCTCATTGTTCGACTTCATAAGGTCTTCTGTTGCGCCTGTCTTGAATATCTTAGTCCAATGAAAAAATGAAATTTACAGTAAGTTTATAATAAATGTCTGAGATGTGTGACAGTTTAAATAACAAAAAAAAACGATTCAGAAGGCATATCTTTGTGTGATAAACTCTTAATAAAATTCTGCTGAACTTACGAAATATTACCTAAATAACTACGTAAAAATTTTTGTAATATCAGATAAATTGTTGGCTTAAAATTAAAATAATAAAGACTTTACGAACGTTATTTGAAGTTACAAATAGTTCTTTAGTTGTCAGTTTTCTTCTAACATAGACGTAGTACTTTTACACATTCTGCTCCATCTCTCAAATCAAAACTAATCTTAATGTTAAGCGGTCAGTTCTCATTGTGTGCTGTCTTTTATTGGATAAGAATATATGAATAGCACATATACTTTGATTTGTTTAAAACAATTGTAATATTACAGGATCCCATGGCGTCGGGTGCGGTACAAATAGCTGAATTTCCGGGTCACACGCATGGAGTCAACTGTGTTGTAAGTAATATTGTCCTAATAAATTCATAATGCATGTATGGAATTCTTAATATAATTATTACGATTGTAATAGTAGTCCGTATATGTAATAGGTCTATGCTACTTAAATATATTTACGAATGCGTTAAGGCGTATGATGGAAACGATTTTTGTGTGTTTTGTAATAAAAATACTTAAAGGATATAATTGTCGTCGTTTTTGAAAACCCGTTTGTGTTGTGTACATTGAGGTGTTTAAGCGGTTGCTTTTTAATTGCGATGACAAACATGACTTGGTTTTAAAATATTATGTTTAAGAAGTACAACTGATATATACATATTTAATTAATGTGAAAGAAATAAAAAATACGATAAAAGCACACATGTAAGAAAAACAATCACTTAAAAAAATGGGCCCAACTCAGTTTTAAGTTGCTGTCACCAGCAATTTCAGTGGACCTATACTATCTTGGATTGACAGCTGAACAAAACAAAAATGTAAACAATTGAAATCAAAAAACAAACATTTAAAAACCAAGGAAACACAATCTAAAACAAACATAAAATATGAGACAATGCAACTAAATTCCCAACCCAGCCGACTGAAATGCAAACGATAACTTTTACATTTTATCTTGAAAGACGTCTGGAGGTGGCAGATTGTGCCAGCATTTAGTTGCATTGTTGCGATATATTTTCATAAAATATATACAAATGTATTGTAACGTTTTTACTTAAAATCTATTTTTTAAAGAACTTTCCTTTATTTTGATCAAGTTATTGTATAAATTAATCTCAATTTCCTTGTTTATTTTCAGGCATTCTCAACGTCTTCCAAGTACCTGGTATCAGTTGGTTCGCAGCATGACATGATAGTGAATGTTTGGGATTGGAGAGCGAACCTCAAATTAGCTAGCAATAAGGTAATGTCTTTACTTAGTGATTAAAATGTTCAATTGTATCATTGTGGTAATCATTACACCTAAAAATTAAGCTTTTTTTATTATCATTTTATAAAGTGCTACTCAGATGATTTTTAAAATTTTTTCTTACTTTCGATCCCCGGCTGTGCGCCAATGAACTTTCTGTCTATGTGCGCATTAACGTTTGCTCGAACGGTGAAGGAAAACATCGTAAGGAAATCGATTTGCCTTAGACCCAAGCAGGCGCCTTCTTGTCGGTCGTTTAGTCCACGGGTAGCAGGGCTGATGCAGGGGAGGGCCCGCAAGAGGTTAGCGAACATAGTGGATACCTGTCTATTAGACATATCATGAAGCAGATATAGTAATCTGAGGCCCAAGCCTATAAAGGTTGTAGCGGCACTGTTTTTTTACTTACATTCGATAATCCACCGACCTAATAAAAAAAGAAAAACCATTGTTATTTTAGTAAATATAAATATGTTATGCCAGGTATCCACTATGTTCGAACCTTACTTGTAACCTGGTAACATTATGCCGTCACGCTCCACTTGACGTATCAAATGTAAGATTATATGGTGTTTGTGTTTATCCGTAACATATATGCAAAACAAAATTTCATTTATTAACACTTTTTAATAATACTTTTTACAGGTGTCATCACGCGTGAAGGCGGTCAGTTTCTCAGAACAAGGGAATTATTTCGTGACAGTTGGCTTCAGACATGTCAAATTTTGGTTCCTCGAGTACTCAAGGAGTGCTAAGGTAACAAAATTAAGTTATTATCATCAGATCATATCGAAATTTCGCTCATGGGTTTAGGTATGTTATTACTATGAAGACCTGCAGTGGTACATTGTACCCAATAGCACTATTGAAAGAACTATTTAATATTGAAATTGCATATAACATAAAAAAATATATATTTTACAATTTATATGTAATCAAATAAAATATATCAAAATTCCAGTTCAAAGAACCAGTTCCTCTCATGGGTCGGTCTGCCATACTCGGAGAACAGAAGGACAATGAGTTTTGTGACGTGGTTTGTGGGAGGGGAGAAGCGGCAGATAGCACATATGCCATTACGAGAAGCGGTCTACTATGTGAATTTAATAGCCGGAGACTGCTTGACAAATGGGTGGAATTGAGGGTAGGTACAAAAATATATTAAAAGCAAAGTGAAATGAAGTAATTTGGGATAAATGTGTATTAATAATTATATAATAATAATTTAATAGATTTTGTGTTACCTTAAAAATGTTATCGTTAAAATATTGATTTTTTTTTCAGACAACGAGTGCAAACTGTATGGCGATAGGAGCGAATTATATATTTGTTGGATGTGCGGAAGGCATTGTGAGGTGTTTTGCCCCGGATTCCCTAAAATACGTCACAACTTTACCCCGGACACATTACTTAGGGGTAGATGTATCACAGGGTGTTAATATTAAGTATGTATAAATTTGTGTTTACATGGTTTTTTTACCAAATAAAAAATATTGTTAATATGAAACGTTTTGACATCTTATCTCTTGCAAATACGATATTTAATGTTGAAGTGATTCCGTTTTATAAGGGAGCCTCCCTTTTCTATATAGTGTATATGTGATATAATGTATGATATATGTGTGAATGTACGTTGATGTTTGTAATAAAAGGCATTTTATTTTTATTCTATTCTCAAAAAAACAATACAATTGTGTTGAGACTAAGTTCAACATTTTGTACAAAAGTAGTTTAAGAAATAAAACTTCTCGTGTCAAAATAAGGAACTGAATTTTGGTCGCATTCTTACATATTCTAACAATATAGTTTTAAAAGTGTTGACCAGAAATAGAAGAAACCAGAAATAAATGACCGTACTCTATAATCAAGAAAACTACTCAAACTTTTTGTGTTGTTTTAATAACCAAATGAAACGATTCCAGCTATGAATAGATAAAAAATAAAGTTTTTAACATTTGGTCTCTCAACTTGCTTTTGTTTATTTATTATTTTGTAACTTTCAGCCATATGTTCAGTCAGCCAGCAAACGCAAAGTATCCCGACGCAGTAGCGTTGACATATGATGAGAGGAACCACAAACTAACATGTGTGTACAACGACCACAGTTTATATGTATGGGATGTACGGGATATTAAAAGGGTATGTATTCAATTACCGATCCATAATTTAAAAAAAATATAGAAAGAAGAAATTTAATATTTGTGGGGCCTGAATTGTTACTTTACACATAGTACATATATTATTTTAAGCTGAATTGCTTGTATAGTGATTTCGATGTTTTGGTCCTTCGAGACGGATTGTTCTTAAGCTAACTTTCAGTGTCTGATGAATCTAATATAAGTCATACATACCTAATTTTTTTTATATACTTAGGTCGGCAAATCCCACTCAGCACTATACCACTCGGCATGCATTTGGGGTGTAGACATGGTGGGGATGGGAGGTCCCTTACCTCCAGGGACATTCCTGACGTGTTCCAGCGATGACACAGTGAGACTATGGCATTTGAAACCGGAACCACCGAATATTTATAGTAATGTAAGTTTTCAGAAATGTTTAATTTTGTAAAAGGAAAATGTAAACGTTTTCATTTAAAATTTACTATAAAGGAAGGTAGAAACAAATTATTCACGTGACATTTTGAATAATTTTTTAATGTTAAGCGCTTTACGCTTACTGAACACTCGGTTTTGGCTTTTAGATGAAATTTGTTCCGAAGTTTGGTCCTACAATTAATTATAATATATTTTTATTTAATTCTTAATTGCATTGCAATAAAACGATAATTATTAAATAATAAGAAGGGCAACGAGCGGCCTCATCGCAGTTAAGCGGTCAGTTCCAAGCAATATATTATCTAGACACAAATCTTGTTTCGTTTTCAATATGTTAATTTAACAAATTAATATTTTATATTTTTACAGGAATTAAACAAAGTATTATATATAGACCCAGAATTGAAGTTCCTCAAGGATGTAGATCTCACGGCCACCAGCGATCGAGATAAATCAAAGACCTATGATGATAAGATTGGAGTCAGGTAATAGTCACAATTTCAAATATCACTTCGAGCAATTATTTTTAATTTATTATTTGTGTTGTTTATAGAGAGAAAAATTTCACAGAATGTTTATTAGCATAGCATGTTCCATATTTTGGTATTTAGCTACTAAAAAGGTAGGCTAAGTAAAAAAAAAAATCGAATCTTTCAAATTATCTGTGTATGTAAATAATGTAAATTAAAATTGAAGTAGTATTAATTACATAAAATAAAACTAAGTTATGCTTTGACTGTACTTGGAGTTCCGTTCTCAGAGACAAAAGTCCAGTAACAAAAAATAAGGTTGACTTAACTGTAACACTAATCTTGCTCTAAAATGATGATGTATGTTATTACAATTTTTTTTAGATGCGTACGAGTATCCCCTTGCGGGCGTCACATAGCAGCAGGAGACAGGGCTGGCAACATTTGGATCCATAATGTGAATGGAAATGGAACGCCGGCGCATACATTAGAGGCGCATGACGCTGAAGTCCTGTGTCTGGAGTACTCCGAACGACCAAGATTGCTGGCTTCGGCCTCGCGGGATCGGCTTATACATGTTTTCTTAGTTGATAAGGTCAGATTTTTTTAAACTGGATAAATGTTTTATCATTTATATTTGAAACCAATTTGTAATGTAATTTCGTATAATGACGTTACTATACTCTGATTTTTAATTCCGTAGAATTCTGAAATTTCACTTCTAAAAAAGTTCTCCACCGAAAAAGGGACAAATTTGACTTATTTGAGGGCAATAAAAAAAAATGCTACGTATTTTTTTTTTTAACCTACAAAAAGGTAAATCTAAATATTTACTCATTCGTGTGGAGCACCGCTCTTAATAAAATGGATACATTAACTAACAATAAGATGTATATATAGCTGTTCAGACTCGTATTGATATTGAAAAATGTACCCGGCCAAAAAGGCCCAAAAGGTTTGCCATCACTGACATGTCAAAAAGTGATAGCTGTCAGAATTCTATGGAATTAATCCTTTCCCATTAGGGATAAATTAATATCATCATCATCAATATCTTATTTGAACCACATTCTGGTAAAATGTTAGATTTGTAATCCAGAGATCACTCCCGACACTACTCACACTTACCCCATTATATCCGTGTATGAGGTTATATATTATTGTATAAATTAATATTTATTAAGATTATATACGCATTTTTACAGGGCTACCAAATCCTCCAAACCTTAGACGAACACTCCTCTTCAATAACAGCAGTACGCTTTCTTAGTTCTGGCGGTGGCCTGCAGATGGCGTCTTGTGGCGCGGATAAGACCATCCTGTTTAGACAATTGAGTACGGTAGGTACAAAAAATATACAATAAATATATATATAACCAATCTGAATCTATAGTGAACCACAATTAAAGTAACAAGAACAAGAAAGTTTTTAATAGATTCAATATATAATATTTCAATTGAACAAATCATTTTTCATTAATTCTCTTAAAATAATCAATCGGTTTAAAGAAATTCTGCTTAAATACTGCGAAAATTTGTTCAATCCTGTAAACGATTCTAAAAATGTCCGCATATTGTTTGTTTTTGATTTATAAATTAACATATTTAACTATTATTTTTATGCCAAGCTGGTATAAAATAAATATATCTGTAAGTGTCAATAATGTTCATTACAGATGCCGGATGGCAGTTACCAATTCGCTCGTGGTCAAAACGTATCAGGCCGCACTACTTTGTACGACATGGAAGTGGACGCTGGAGGAAGGCATATACTCACTGCTTGTCAGGTAAATATAATATTAATATTATTTTATTAAATTTTGCCCCACGTGGCTAATTGTTTTTTTTTTAATTTGCTTGGGCACAGGCTGTATTTTGATCCAATAGAGAAATTTGAACCCTACTAATAACGATGTCTGCTTTTTTGTTGTATTTATCTCTATATATATATATATATATATAAAAAGGAATTGCTGTCTGTTTGTCTCGCTAAAACTCGAGAATGGCTAAACCGATTCGGTTAATTTTGATCTTGAAATATTTGATGGAAGTAGGGACAGTAATCATGAAACTTAAATAAAATTTCAAAGAAAAATGTCTTGCTAGAAATCGACAACTGAGAATTTTCCTGAATATAAAAAAATCTTTCCTTGTGGATAATAATGTCTAATTGTTATGCTTGACAAATAAGATTCGTGGTAAAACGATAATATCTCTTTATATTGCAGGTACAAATGTAACGCGCAGCAATATAAAGGATGCATATTATTTGTATATTTTATGACGTTTTAGTAAATACATATTATTATTAAATTCCAGGATCGTAATGTCAGAGTATACAGCGCGTCTCACGGACGTCATACGAAAACATTCAGAGGCACAACCGCGGAAGACGGCACATTGATCAAGGTAAAATATATATTATTTATGGACTCTATTTATATGATTGACAAGAACAGGCAATAGATTCACCTTGAGAGAAGCCCGTGGCTTTGCAACCAAGGGTGCGATTCACGACAAAGCAATTGTTTCGTGTTGGTAATCACAGATGGCGACTAAGGCCGCTAACTCACCGGGACGCCATGTCGACGTCGCTACCTACGTATCCAAACAATTTGTATTGTAATGTATGGCTGTTAACTCACTCGGCGAAGGTTCCAGAAAGAAAAAAAAGAAAAGAAGAACGTGTCAGAAAGGTTTTTGAGGCTTTGGTCCTGGCTGCGCTTCCCAATTGGCGACGTTGCCAAACCGTCGCCGAGTGAGTTAACTGCCATACATTACAGTATTTTTTTTTGGATACGTAGCTAGCGACGTCGCCATAGTATCCCGGTAGCGGCGTCCTCGTCTTAAAAATTATAATGATATTACGAAGAAATATTTTGGCACCACACATTGGGATTTTTGAAAATTTAAACAACTTGTCCTCATCTCTCGTCATACTGTATTTATTTAGTGAATTTTTTTGTTGCCAGGTGGCATTGGACAGTAGCGGTATCTATCTTGCAACGTCTAGTACGGATAAAATACTCAGTGTGTACGATTACTACTCAGGCGAATGTATGGCTACTATGTATGGACACTCGGAGATTGTTACGGGTCTTAGGTGAGCTATTGGTTTTGATACTTAACTTTTTTAAACTGTCATCCTTGTAAGATTTTTATTTAGGATCACTTTTATATATTTCTCGTAGCTTTTTTAAATATTAATAAAAATATATATTTATTTTATTAATGTTGCTTACACAAAAAAAAAAAAACAATATTTTACCAATTCTGCTTTATTCTCATACTACATATTAACATTTGCTTTGACGCAATGCAACTCAAACTCACGGGTTGCAGGCGTCATTATTAAATTATTTTACTTATTATTTCAACAGCAAATTCACCCCTAGTAATTAATGGCAAGCAATATCAATTTAATTTAATTTTTTTTTTTTATATATATATATATATCATTTTAATGATATTTTCAGATTTACCCCCGACTGCCAGCACTTAATATCGGCGAGTGGGGACGGATGTATATTCGTATGGCGAGTTCCACATGACATGGTTGTCACTATGCGGGCGAGGTTGGCGCAACAGGCAATTCGACAGGGCAGGTTAGTTTAAGGAGAATATAATATTAGATGTAAAGCTGGTAGGATATGTTTAAACTAATAAGAGAGATGTTTGATCATTTGACGCAAAAGTGAGGAAAAAAAATAATAAAAAAGCTGGTACAACTTTTCTTGGGTTTATTGAATATCCTCAGAGTTAAATTCAGAGTCGAGGCGGTCCATATTCTAATTCGTATCTCAAGTCACTATCTTGTCTAGAGCGCTGTCAAATATATTAAAATTCATACAAAGAAAACGGCTATTTAAACTAGATTAAGAGTTATATGATGTCCTTGAATACGGGCCAGTGATTTTTAATTTCATTGCGAGAATTGTCAAACTTATTGTCAGCACTATCTGTTGCAATCTCGGAGTATTATTTAAATTATACATAATATAATTTCGTCATGGAAATGCACAAAATTAGGAAAAGAAGAAAGTCTAAAACGCTTGCAATAATAAGTGTTAGAATGTTCTATAGCATTGTCACATGACATTACATTCTGAGGGAAGCATTTCTTTATAGTTATTAAACTAAAACACGTTATTTTCAGAAAAGCGCCATCTAACGGTATGTCAGGTTTGGAAAGCGAAACCGACTCCCACTTGGGTTCACCGCCCAGGGAACTGACCGCTGACGATAAATTTGCTGCACCCGTTGTACCCGACTATACGTAAGTTTTATTTTTAAGATTTTTTGAAGTGAAACTTCTTTATCGGGGTTGGAAAACATCGGTAACATTTTTGCGTTACGCGTCACATTTTTCCGTTACGCGCCATGTTGCTTTTTGAAGTCAAACTTCTTTATCGGCGTTAAAATATGACATATAGTATGTTTTTGACTTTGAAGTTTGACAACGGATTACATTTTCGACTTGAAATTTTCTAATCGCAATTTGCAGCAATTAATTTGTAAATTGTATGCTCGGCAGTGTATCAAAATTTACTGTGTTTAAAGAAATAGTTTCTAATAAGGTCATAAAGAAGTTTCACTTCTTATGTGTGTACACCTAGTACACGCACACATTTTTTTTTGCTTCTAAACGATTTTTATTCTTGATTAATATGTTCTTATTTTGATTCAGTTACCGCATTTAAAGTAACATTTTTGGTAGCTATTATTTTATTTAATATCGCGTTTTTTTATTAGGTTAAGAATAGGTCGCTTACCTTCATGGGCCAAGAAAAGCCTAGGAAATGAGCTAACAGCACCGGAAACGCCCCCAGAGCCACCTGCGAGAGGAAAATGGGCTACTCGAATACTACCCGCTAATGGTAAGTCTGAAATTACCTTTAGAGTTCAATTTTGTTTACTGTGCTTTTTATATCAAATAAACTGTCCATGGTAAGCATAGCCAATACTAGCTAATAAGTTTAAGCGAAAGTTAAGATAACGATAATTTAAAACATTTCGTTTTTTAACAGAATTATAGAAAATTGTAATTTTTTGCCGCTCATTTGGATGTTTCTTTTTCAGAAAAACGAGGTGATTCCGACGGTTCTAAGGATAGTTCGCTAGATAGCGGTACGGACACACGGTATATTGAGAAAAGAAGGGAACAGGGGGTAAAACAGGTATTTATACGTATACGTACATACTTTAAAATATCGACTTGAATAAAAATCTAAATACTATACCAAATATATTTTAAATCCAATAGTGAGATTGTCAAGTCGTTAGCCGAATTCTTTCTTCTACTTCGCCGAGTCTCGACTGTGTGTCTCGAGCTTCGGGTCGCTTTAATGACGCTCGGTCACAGCGATAATTGATTTAAGATAATTTTTTTAAACAGTTACTATTTTATACAGAAAAAATATATGTTTTCCCAAATTTGCTATTTGATCGTGTAATACTGCCTGAATAAAACGAACATCTAATAACGGGATTTAAAAAAAATATATTATGACAGATGACTAGTTCTGCCATATATGTAATGAAAGGAGTGCGTTTCATTTTACGCATTGCTCTCTTTCCCTTCATTATCTTTAAAAAGTACTAATATTCTTACAACCTTAAAAATTATATTTTTATTCAAGTTTCGATTTCGTAAAATGTAACTTTTTATGTAGAAATTGTGTACATTTTTTTGTTTATATGTTAATTGTTTTTTCGATGTTTTTATTTCCAGTGAGCACATATACTTTTCAAATTTAATACAACTTTGATAATTTGTAGATAGTTCTAATTTAAATATCTAACAAAAAATTAACTAGGGACAAGGTACTACCAATATCGATAAGTTAAAAGTGCAGTTTGACTTTAGTGCTAAATATTCCTTGAAATATTATCAGATTCTGATATTAAAAGGATATATTCCTTGTAATATTTAAAAAAATATTGATATTGGATGTTAGTAATTAGTTTAACATGTCTAATCACTCACATGGTGTGGTGATGGTTATTTTTATCAAGATTTACAATCATCTTTAATTGTGAGTTCCTGTGTGTCAAAGTCAAATTGACAAGTGACAATAGACTGTCAGCTGATTTAACGGTAACAGTATCAATAAATGCTTAAAATGAATCAAACAGATCTTAGTTAGCTGTTTTCTATAAGATATGAATGAAAACTGAAAGTATACACAGATTAGTATTATTACCGAAAATAAACGATGGAGGTTAATAATATTGTTTTTGAAGATGTTTGTAAATCTATGATCATTTTTAATTTTATGTCGACTTAAATTTGGTGCATGGTTTTCTTACCTTTCGTTTACCTTACTTTTTATTTTGTATCTTTTGTTTTAAAGTCCTATTAATACTACATCAAAAAAATATTGTACTACGAAAAGCAGTAAAATTTGAGTCGATAAAATTGATCGATCAGTCGACCGACAAGTCATTAATTCCTACGGTAATGGTTGCAATAGAGGCCGAAATCGCTCAACTTGTCGCAACTTCCCCGTGTTGAAGCTTTGTTCAGGAATTTTGACCGTAACATGAGAGCTACTTACGATATTTTGACGATATCTCCAAAAGCAGAGAAGGTTATTTTTTGTTCTTTTGCATTTGTTTTTGTCGCACGTGTGTCACGCTTTGACAAGTGTTGTTTTATTTTTTGATTAGCGTTTTCTTTTTTGATTAGCAACCAGTATAAATATCATCGGGGGGGTTCAATTGCTTATATCTAATCATTGTTTTCTTATTTGTCATTTCAACTTTTTAATTTGTTATTGTAGTTTAAAAAGTGTTTAGCGATTATTGCTTTTTGTGTAGGTAAAACATTTATAAGTTTGTTTATACGCAAGCAATTAGGTACAAGTCATAAATATTTTTATTTAAAGAGTTAATATACTTGTGATTTCATATTTAGATTTGTTTTGAATGTAAAATGGTGATGCTAACTGGAATGTTGCATGAATAACTCATCATTGCTTGCTTTAACATTTTGTGCTTTTTATATGCTTGAAAGTCATTATCATATATTTTCATAATAAAGTGATTTTTATATGTATTTAATTTCAGTATGCAATTTTATATTTAATTGCTAGTTTCTACTAGTTGCGTGGAAATGGGTAACCTATGTACTAAATTTCTCTTATGAGTTATAAGATATTAAAAAAATATATTGGAAACTCACATATACAAGTATAATATCGTAAATAACTTTGTTTAAATATGCACGTAGTAATTCGTACAAGTGTTTATTTTGCTCCAACACAGCTTTTTCGTTAAGTTGATTTATTTTGTATGTTTGTTAGGTAACGATTAATTTAACTAAAACAAGAACACAAGAGTCTCGAGTGCGACACCACACTGACGACTCGTCGCTCGGCAGTCTTAAGTTTGAGGTTTATATTTTTTTTCTTTACATTTTTGTTCTTATATATTTGGGAAATCTGGGAAAACTCATTTTTCCATTACTGACGTGCAATTAATGCTGAAACATTATAGGATCAAGAATCAACAGAACACGATGGTGATGTTGAGGATATTTCTGATGGAGAGAGGACATCTTCATCAGAGAGAGGAAATAGACCCACCTACTACCCGGGGAACAATGATACTGAGACTCCTAGGTAAATATAGCATCGGGAGCGTTCAAGTATTACGTCACGCAATTTTTGGAGATTATTGACCCCCCCCTCCCCATGTAACGCGCCGTAACGTTATTCTGTACCCAAAATAATATAATGTGAATGAAAGTTGATCACCTGACTCAATTATACACGTAGAGAAATTATGTATAATCATAAAAATAAGTATTTTTCTCATTTCTACAGTGAATTTATGGTGACCGCAATGGATGAAACCGAGCTAAGGCATTCAATGCGTCGCTCAAAGCGTTGGACAGGGGAAACACCAAGACTGGACTTGCCTCCTGCTGCTTCTCTGAGTGGATCGCCACACGACTCTGATGATGATGAGGTTCGTATTTGCTTCATAGAGGGCGGCATAGAAAGTATAAGCTTGTTAGGTTAGTTAGTAGCAAGATTCTCTTTACTCAATTAACAAGAGAACTATGGAATATATGTGAAGGCTATAGAAAACTATCCTATCCTAAAAAGATATATCTAAATGGCCTTGGCAATTTATTCATATTAAATAAATGAAAACCTTATTCTATTGTTGCATTATTTTACAGAGCCTGGTCCCCACACTAGAACTAGTGCACTAGAACACTGTGTTGTGGGTGACCAGACTCTTCCGAGGTACAAAAACTTAGTATATAAAAGTATGCTTAAAAAAACCAAATAAAAAATAATTATTTTTTTTTATAAATTTGCGTGTACGTGATATATTTGGCTGTGCTTGCACGTGTGTGCGTGAACGATCGTATCAAAAGGGCTCTCGTCTCATTATTTATACGTTAATATATATTTTATTAATATACACTCCATATAAATTCAAAGGCGAGACAAAAATATTTAATGATTTTTCGTGTGTCTCTATTATTATATATTGCAGGTGTCAACGCCATCTGGTGATAATGCGGATCGTAATCCACTTTCCGGTTCTTGTGAGTCCATAGACACGGCCGGGAGAAGAGAGAAGTATATTAAATCTGCGTTTGACAGTTTGAGTGGAGTGGACATGGATAATGGCAACGCTGGTGAGTGGTTATAAAGATATCATGGTCATGTTATTGTATTAAATTTAAAATTTGTTCTATGGTAAAAGTGGAATTCTGATTTATAATTTTGCTAGTTGTTAGAGTGTGAACGTGGCATCCGATTTTACCTTATTGTTATGTTTAAAACATTGTACGTCATTATAGTTAGACAGTTATCTTTTTGATATGAAACATTTTAAAGTATGTTTTTTTTGGGAATAAATTAAGTTTTGCTACCCGTAATGAGAATTATCCTAGATTGCATTTCCGCCACTCTGATTCTCTTTCCGTACAAACTCTAATTATTATCGAGATTTAGAGAATCTAAACTTCTATTTCTCCTACTTTAAACAATATTGCAAAACGCGTAAGAGTTAAAATACTCACTTATTTTTGTTATGATAACTTTGATAATTAACAAAAATATATTTTCAGCGAACACGGGTCACAATTCATTATCAGCGAAACACTTATCCCGCGGACCGACACTTAGACCGGACCCTGAAGCCATCAGAAATAGAGAAGAATTGCAGAGAAGGATACAAGAGACTAGAAGGCAGTTGGATAGTGTAAGTAATGTACCTGTCTATAGCAAAAAAAAAATGTACTATGTACAATCATATGCTTAACTCATAGGACATAGTAAAGGCTTGAGCTTTATGTTATTAAATTGTAAAGGAAGGATGGTAATGCTCTTCCGCGACCTAAAGAGGATCCTCCAAGACCACTCAAAGCACCGACTGGCAGACCCAAATGCAAAATGGTTTTGTTCGAGAAGTTCTACAGACTGCGGAATAACTTTGTTAGCGCGCATCAGAATATGACGTTATCGCAGTGATTTGTAGCCGAGGATTGTTGGTTCTATAAAACAATAATTTATTTCCATTTTAATGCTAGCTAGTATTTAGATGCCGTAATATCAGTTCAGAAATTAACGTAACCGAACGCCCAAATTATTATTCATAATTTGACATAATTAGACTCTTCTATGATAGAACCAGCGTAGTCCTTAGTCGGTAATTAGTAATAATTAAAAAAATATGTTTATTAATAATATTTTTAGCTGGCGTACCGGTCAAATCTGAAGTCGAGTCAGTCGACAACAGATCTATCGTATATTCCTGAAAAAGACGGCTCCAATAGGAATAGATTATCTATTGGATCACCCAGTAACTCTAGGAATTACGGTAAGATATTTTAAGCCAGTATTCTCTAAGCTGATAACAAATTGTATGCTGTGAAAAACAAGTTTTTAAAAAGTTGCAACACTGGTATTACATTAAATAGAAAAACGAGTTTTTCATAAATAATTTTGAAAGACAAATATATGTTCAATAAAATATTCAGATGTCTTTCACCATATATTTGTCTTTAAATTGCTAATAACACTAAATTGCCATATAAATCACGATGTCATACTAACATACATCATTGTTTTTAATGCTGACCAGGATTCCAAATACCTACTTTCCCGGAGGAAAACTTTGATAGTCTTTCTAGCAATTTCTTTGATAGCCTTAACTATCAAAATCTTGATTATCGAAACAAAAACCCTTACGCCATTCCTGCGAATTTAAACCATAAAATAATACCTGAATATTATCAAAATCCTCCGGTTATCCCACCTAGAGTAAGAGCGGACAAACACAATCAACAAATAAGTAATTCACATTACAAAGAAAATACACAAAATCAAGCTTTTACAGTAGATGTGAAGATAACAAACTCTAAAGTATTTAATAGATTATTTTCAACAAAAGAAGATCCGCCAAAAATACCTCCGAGAAATTTCCACTTAAACCTTACCGATAAACCTCAACCAAAAACTCCGAAGCCAAATGCACGAAGCATTTTTAAAAACTATAAATCATGCCCAGTTTCACCCGTTTCTGAAGAATGTAAGTGGGCTGATAAAGTGCCCCCCGCTCAAAATAATGATAAGCTGAAATTTAATGCTGCAGAGGCTAAAAAACGTTATTCTCTTAGTTTCTTCGTTGGGGCTGATAAAATGAAGGCAGGAAAAAGCATTGTTAATACAATAAAAAGTGACACGGAGAAAATGATAGCAGAAATTACAAAGAAATATGGAGATTTAGACGCATTTGAACCGAATGCACAAGATGACCTAGATTTACAACCCACTAAAGAGGAAAAGGATGATGGTAATTTCTCATCCGATTCCTTAGAAGACTGTAGCTTAAGCCAAGATGTCAGTTGCAAAAATAAGTTGTATTCTAAGAAAATTTGCAAGAAGCACAACAAACAAAACGCGAGGAACATACCGAGGAGGGCGGTATCAAATTACGAAATATATGGGACTTACGAAAAGCCTAAAGTTCCAACTAAACCATGTATTGAACACAAAAGTTCAACGTTACCTAGAAACATGCCATCAAATTTGGATGATATTATGGACGAGGACGTCACTAAGATATTTGCTATGCACAGATGTCAAAGTGTACTCACTAAAAGGTGTATAACCAGATCAAATGAGTCCGTTTTAAGTGATAATTCTAACTGTTCTAGCGTTTCTAATGAAATCTTTTTAAAATACGGTAATGAAGTTGCGTTTCAACAAGGGAGGCTTACTGATAGTCGTTATAATTTAAACTCCCAAAATTGTTCTTTTGAAAATATTCATGAGCCCGATGGGAAATATTTAGAGGCGCATAGACACAGTAGTGCCAGTTTCTTTTTAAACCAAAAGAAGTATATGAAAAATAGTTGCAGCCAAGAATCAATTCTGTCTGATGAGTTTCTTGACAATGATCACATGACGTCTCGTACTAATTGTAATTCTTTAGAGAGCGTTTTATCCGATGACTCTGAATGTACGAAAAGTGCGCCACTGGAAATGCTTTTTGAAGGTAAGAAAACGCGTAGCAAATTCCCTAATAGCCAAAGCTGTTATGAATTTGACAATAGTTCCAAGAGTTATGGATCTAGTCCTAATAAGGTGCCCTGTTTAACTGGGTATATGTATAATAATTATTTCGAAACTCCGGGAGTGGAGTACCACGAACCTACTCCTATAGTTGTGCAAAGGCCGCCCATTCATAAGGTGTATGGATTTGAGGTACCAACTTCTGAATTTTCTGGACACAAGACTGTGACAAGATCAAAAAGTTTATACGACTCTGCATCAAAACATCCACCCCGGCCTCCTAGGAATATTGCATACTATTTTGATGGTAGCGATATTAGACAGTATTCTGAGGAAAAAAAAGGAATCGATGATATACCTAGATTAAAAAATACTGATTATATGGCAAGTACAAGCAAGTCATTGCAACCCAAATTCGCTGAAAAACAAAAATATAAGAACGAAATGGAAGGATGTGAACCAAACACAATGGTAAAATCTAAGAGTTGTAGTTTTGAAGTTGTTTTAGAACCTGCATCCAAGCCAAATCCACTTAAAAATCTCATGGAGAAACGAAATTCGCACGTTCAAAAGAACTTGGAAAAGTTTGAAGATCAAATACGAAAAAATACTCAAAGCAAAGGAAATAAAAATCAACAGAATAAGGAGAAAGTCAATATATCCAAATATAATAAAACCACAAAAAGTCTTGAAAGAGATTCTAGTCAAAAAAATAATAATAACAATAATAAAATTACTATGGAGTTCGTACCACATAAACCGCCAAAACCATTAAAACGAACTTCTTCTACTAAGCTTAATAACAGACTTAAAGGTAACTTAGAAAAGTCTGGTTTAAGTTCATCTATATCCTCGCAATACAAGGCAAAGCTTGATGGTTTACAGAATAAAAATTATATAACAAATAAAAAAATGGAAGACAAAAATTCAAATACATTAGAACCAGAAGGCACTGAAAAAACCTTTGATATATTCGTTAAAGAAAAAGAAATAAATGATAATAAATGTGAAATGCAGATGGACAGCTTAGAAGTATATGCAATGCAGAAGTTAGAAAAGAAAAAGCAAATGAGCCTGGATTCTTTAGACGTTAGTGATGATAATCATGATTTTGCTAAAGATTCGCTAGACTACTACGCAGAACAAGATAATAGATTCTTCAATAAATCTCGAAAAGAATCCAATCTTAACATAAATAAGAAAGGCTATAATGAAACATCTTCCTCTAAAATCAATCAAAATGACTCGAAAGAAAACATCGCACCTGAAAGCGAGGAAGTCAAAAAATATAAGTATATTGAACGCAAATTGGAAATTATAAATAAATTAGTTGAAATGGAAGAAAGAAAAATACTACAAGAAAAGATTTTGAAGGAATTCCGTATGAAACCTTTAGAAACTAATATTAACGACGGTAAAGGTGTTGTGAAAGTTTTGTCGCAGAAGTTCGAAAAATTAGCAACGAAACAGACTACTGTACCTAATTTTGCGTCCCTCACTCTAGACGAAGTTGAAGATCGGGAAAATCTAGAAGGGAAAGAAATCAAACGCAATTTAAGCCTTCCGGACATACTTGATACAGAACAAATTGGCTTGACAGTAATTGGTTGTGGCGAAACATCTAACGATAGCCCTAATATCGAGTCCGAACAATTAAATAATACAATACAAAGCGAACCAAAACCGCTTAAAACATTGCCCCAAAGAGTGTATAACGAAATGGTATTCCCAAAAACAGACGTACATTTAGATAGTGAAAACTACGAATCGTCTACAACTAGTTCAAGTTGTACGAATTCACCGAAACGTATGACCTTTTATGGGTTTAATCGTCCGAAAACTCCCTTTCGAAAAATGATTCGGCAACCAGCACCCAGGTTATATATGGACAATCAGGCTCGAATGCGCCCCCCCTTTTCGGGGAATGCCGTAAGGGGTTTAGCTAAAAAGTGTCCAATAGTACCCGTGCTGCCTTCGAAATTCTCACCAGGTGCGAATCGCATGAATAGATGTCGTGTCGGTTCTTATAATTTGCGCTTTGTTTAGCGAATCCTAGTCCCTCAGGGTTGTTACACATTCCATTGGGCACTTGTTTATTGAATTAATCAAACTTTTATAGATAATGAGCTAGTGGTATGCTGGCTATTTATAAATTTAATATAATATATATTCTATAAATCTAAAGCAACTTTTAATTTGCAAGGTTCGCAGTGCCTTTTCAAATGTGTAGCGCCCAAATGTTGTGATATTTCTTGTTAATGATCTACATAGCCAAGATACAATGTTAGTCACATTGTTGACAAAATATTTTTTATACAAATTCTCATAACAAGATATCTTGGGTATGCTAGAAATGGTGAAATTATAGGTTTTACTATTTCACATTTATTGCTTCTTGTGTTGTTTTCAGATCCCAGCATGTTTTTATTGCACGATTGTATTTTATGTGTTTTTATTTTGGATAAGCATGGTCAAAAATTTAAAAGTTTTAGAGTTTTTAATCTTGGTTTGCTTTGAGGTATTGGACGATTATCATGAACTAATAGATTCGTTTAACTCATAAAAATCGTTCATACCATGTGCGTTAAGCATGATATAATATGATACAGCGCGCACACATCTTACGCCGGAAGCGAGCGAGACAGGTATGCGTCGTGCTATCTCACTCTCGGACCTCGCGGCCAAGCCAGTGCCGGCTCCCAGGACGCCGCAAGGTGGGTTTTATGGGAGTGCCAAGGAGGACGCTTGGGGTGATAGGTTTAACCAGCAGACATGGGAAGGATTTATTCATATAATAAACTTTACAGTAAATATATACTGAGATTTTTGTACGTAAATGTAAATAAGGTGTAAAATGGGGTCTAGTAGAGTAACTTTGTGATAATAATCATAAAAAACACAAGAAAAAATAATAATACCCGCACTTTCCGAATTTGCATTAAAATAATGACTACACTGAGGGCATGAATAATTTTACTATGAAAATGCATGCAATTATGTCTTCATCCTTGCATCTGCTTGCATAACCTTTAATAAAAATGTATTACTTTAACGCTTTTTGTATTTGTAGTTAGAAATCTTTTTATTATATTATTCCAGTCAAGTGATAATACTTGTTTTATATAATATATTCATTTAGGTGATTTTCCTTGACATTTGTTAGTCAAGGCTTTTTGTCTAAATGAACTAAAAAAACTATCTTTACGGAAATATATTATACCCATAATATACGAGTATGTATTGTGTATATATTTGGCGGTTTCACTAATATCGTTTTTATATAGGTCCTTCAAAACCTGTGCCATCAAATGTAAACACCAGCAAATCGCCCAGCGGCTTCGTCCGCCCTGCACCTCGATACACAAAATCTAATATGACTAGGAGTAGCAGCGTTGGGGTATTGAACCAGGTAAAATTAATTTGTTAAACTAAATTTTAGGGTATAAAACCATCCAAAACTCTAAAAAACGTAAGTAATATTCTATCGCGGCCTTAAAAAACGATCCGTAGAAGTCTTCCCTCCGTAGAAGAAATCCTTAAATTTATAATTTGACAAAAATTATGAAGTAACAATAGAGAAAACTTAAAAGTTTTCTTTAGTTTGTTTCAAAGTTTGTTTGAAGAGAAAGAAATGTTATAGTAATGATGAATGTAAAATATAATACGTGGAGATGTCTCCGTCTCTTACCGTGTTACCACATGCTAGGACTTCCTTGGTCTAGAGAAATAATTTTCAGGTTAGAACCGACAGCCTTTAAAAGTAATTAATAAAACAAGCCGATGAAGGCTACCCGAGACTTACAGGACTTCCAAAGTATTTTACTTTGATATTTTATAGATTTATTGTTTTTCAGAGTGACTCGGAATCGGACCCTCAGCCGACTCGACAACCCAGAGTCGGTGGTCTTATGAGACCAACGATCAGTTCTATGAACAAACAAGCACCTACAACCGCTAGGAGGCGTGGACTATCTAATGCGTATAGTACAGGTATTAATAAATACTTTTAGCTGGTATACCCACAAGTAGTAAATAGTGGAACTTAGAAGTAGACATGAAAATACGCACTTGAAAGTACCTAATTTAATTATAAAATGAAGGGCACACTAAATAATTTTTAAATAGTGCTTTATTAAAACCTATATTTAGTGTATTAGTTAATATTAACAAATGATAAACAACTCGGCCTGTATTACATAAACTAAAGAAATACTATCCTTATTCTAATGTCAATTGTTTGACGCGGAATTGATAAGGAAAAAATATTCAAAAGCTATTTCAGGTGTTTATTATTATTGAATGAACTCGAAAATAAGAAAACAAAGTTTATTGATTACATTCAAATATTCACTCAATGCTTAATAATATAACAATAAACACAAATATATCAGAACCAAGCACAATAACGCTTTAACATACACGCGTATACGCACAATTTCAGCGAACGTCGCTCGCTCAGAATCAAGTTCTGAGGCTGAAGAACGGACTGAAGCAAGACCAAGGGCCGCCTCAGTGGACAGGGCGTCTAGGAGACTGGGGGCCGGTGAGTTGCTATATTTTACTGATAACGAATTATATATTCATAAATACTAAACTTTATTACAGTTTTATTATTTTTAATTAAATTTCTCTCAAATTGTCTTTATGTTGTGATGAAATGCGACAAATCACTGCTACAGGACATATTTAGTGTTTATGTGGGTAGGACTTCAGAAGCACATTTTTTTTTGTTTCTACCCTCTGACTATTAATTTTTTTATTTTATATAAAAATTAATTAAATTTCAGGTCGCAGTGGTAGCGAGCGTGATTTATCAGCGAAGGCTCGAGAGGTGACGAATCGGCTCACCTCTAACTCACGACAGAGGCCCAAGCAAGAGACTACTGAAAATAATGGTAAGTTGTTTTCTGGATGGGTTCTCACAATCCAGCGTCAACAATTTTCATCTGGTGCCAGTGTGATAATTTACTTTCATTAGAATATTCCAGTTTATTAGATCACTGTATGGACCATGTCATACGTTCCGTCATTTTTGACTATTTAATTTAATTTTATTAAAATTATTTAAATAAAATATTGTTCTCTCTTGACATTGCTGGAAACGTTACATAAAAGGTAATGAAAACAACACAAAAAACCCTTAATAGTTTTCATGACAATAATGGTCATTTGTCACTGGTTTCTCTTCTATTTGGTATTTCTGGTCATAACTTCAAAGATAAAAGCGCGCGCGCATGAGTATAAATAGAGAATTTATTTAAATCATTTTACATATATTGTATATAAGAATTTATTTCTAACTTTTCTGTATCTGTATTTGATGCATTGAATTCCAGTGTCATCATCTCAGCTATGTTCGGCTCTCACGGAACAGCTAACTAAGACGGCGAGTAAAGTCGTTCAGTTATATCGCACACTGCAGAGGGAACCAAACGCCGCAGCTGATATCAGTGGTAAGTGAATATTGACAGTAATATTGATAGTGAGACAACATCTTGCTATAATCAAATCTGTGCTACGTGGTGTAAAACGTGGAAGGTCACCAAAGACATCGCCTTCGCCGTCTTCTGGGCATCTACTGGCTCTAAAAGATCTCTTAACGAGCAACTTTGGGAGCGGTGCCGGGTAACCCCGATTAGCCAGCAGATCAAGCGACGTAAATGGAAATGGATAGGCCATACTACGAAGGGATCCCAATCATATTCCCAAGCAAGCGCTTGATTGGAACCCGCAAGGAAAGTGGAAGCGTGGCCGTCTCAGGAAAACCTGGTGCCGTACAGTTGCAGATGAGGCAAAGAGAGCCAGAATGACTTGGAGCTCGGTGAAATACGAGACTCAAGACTCAAGACCGAACGCAATGGAGACTCATTGTGGACGTTCTCTGACTCAGCTAGGGGTTATAGGACGTCAAGTCTTACTATAGGGTTCAGAAGACATTAAACCCAAATATTTTATTTACAGGACTCGAAGCTGCAATCCTCGAGACACAGAAAGTCCTGCGCGGCGCTGTTCAAGGGGAACCGGACAATAACCGACAAAGGATTGACAATCTTCTTTCAAAAGGTGAGGTTTTTTTGTGAATACGGACTGTTAAACTCATAAACCAGACTCTCTTCTTTTTTTTACATAACTCCCAAGAGCTTTGGAGATATATAAACGTTTAGTGGCGACTTACTTGAGTGTCTATTTCACTTTGTCATAAGATCCTTAACCTTTACATAAATGTATATGTCGCAGCCAACTAGCTTAATTAGCCGTGCAATTAACAGCCTAGTCTCTTTACTAAACAGCGCCGTTCAACTAGCGGCCTAAATGATATTCAGCCATTTGATCAAACAGCTAAACAAATGACTTAAACGTTTCTTGCCTTTGATTAATTTCAATTTAGTAACACTTTCTGCCACCTACACCAAACTGTCAATAAAGCTTCGGTAAACAACAAATTTGATGATGTTTTTCCAAAGTTTAATAAAATATAGGATGGAATAGTGTAGTGACACTAAGAGTAAGTGTAAGAACACTAATAAGTTAGATATTAAATAAAGAATTTCTTGTGTCAGATATTTCAGCTTTTTTATTTCTCTCACATGATCGTACGAATGGCCTAAGCATTGGCCAGTTTATTAAATGTTACAAACGCTATGGCTGAATATCTTTCAGGCCGTTAGTTAAACGGCGCTGGTTAGTTAAAAGGCTAGGCTGTTGATTAAATGGCTAATTAAGCTAGTTGGCTGCGACATATCTATAATAATGTCCTTCGTAAAAATTATAATTTCTAATTAAATCTTTAGAAGGCGCTGCAACTGGCAACCCAGCAATGACTCTCATAGAGCAATACTCGGATATCTTGCTCAACATGATGCAGAGTAAAATGGTGAACCAGTTCTCACAGAGTCCACAAAGTCTACCCCCCACCCCAAGAGAACCGGGTGGGGAAAGCTAGTGATTAGTGAAGTGAAGAATATTTAGTGAAAAATGGAATTGATAAGTGTAAAGTGGAATTGTAAAGGAAATAAAAATGGAATTAATAAGAAAATATAAAATGGAAAAAATATTTACTTAAGTTCCATTTTGAATTAAGATGTTCTTATTTATGGAATAAAATTTATGTTTATGGTAATCGTGTTTAACGGAATTGTAACGGGATTTTCTTTTCTTATATGATAAGATTTAATTTGGTAAATTATTATTTGAATATATTGGAAAATAATTAAGTATGTGAAGGGAATAGTTTGGAAGATTGGATACAAAAATTAAGAAATATGAATATAATTTTATTGTTTCTTAAAACACAATTTATATTTTTTTGTATAATTGGTGGTTTTAAATATATTTTTATCGTGGTTGAACCACTTTAAACGGATGTCGTAATGGAATTGAACGCGGTAGAACACTTATATCAATTATATTTTATTTAAAATTGCTGACAATATTATGAAGACATTGTATTTATTATGGCTAGTATTAAATTGTTTTACAAAGATCTGCGATTCAAAAAAATAAGTGCTGCCACCTGTTTAAGAATTGACAAAGGAAAATTTCAGAGAAAACCTATTGGACCATTAGGCATCACAAAGTCTAGAATCTTCGTTAGAAATAAAATGATTGAAAAAAAAATGGGTTTAAAATATTACCCTAAAACGCATTTAAAACATTCCAATTTTGGAGGCAAGGCCGCCATCTTAGACATGTCAAATTGGCACTCGGGTTGTCAATGTCAAATTGACGCGGGATTAATGAGCGTGCATATAGTGTTATAGTTTGTATTATAATTACTGATAGAAAATATTCCGTTTTGAAATCGTGTCAGTTATGTAAAAGCATAAAACATTTATAATATGTGCATGACTTTTGTAAATAAAGTGTATAATACATGTGTTTAATTTTTAAAGTATTACCTACGCTAATAATAGGGTGTGAATTTTAATAATTCATGCGATAATTGACTACACTGCGATTTTTCCTTTTATACTTCACGATGACAAGTTATCATTTCTAATTGAAAACTGTTTTAATGCTTGCTATGCGCAAAAATCCGTTGCGGTGTCCATTGTTAATACAATATTCTCGCGTCGTCTAATATAGACCTTACTGACTATAGACAAACGCACATTTACGCAGCAAGGTATGTAAATCATTAACTTTATAATGAAAAAATCGCAGTCGTTAGTCAAAATCTGATTAGGTAACATTGTATTTTAAGAAATATTAATTGTAATTGTTTAAATTACACGGTTCTATCGAATTATATTTAAACGCATAATAAAATTGAGAAGTTATCAATTCGACGAGTAATATTTTCTGATATACAACTATTATAAATATGGAGTAAAATTTAAAGCAAAAAAATGACATTTATAATAATAATATGTTTTGAAATTACAATGTTACCTACAGAATTTTAGCGAAAACCAAAATAACGTTAAAATATTACGTCCTGTAAGTCAATGTAGTATTTAAGCTAATCGTCACAATTATATAATACATAATTTTAATACCAATTTCCTGTAAGATACTTCTGTTTAAAATTTTAATCTGTGAAATTAATTTTGAGACATACAGCATACTTCATAGAGTATATTTATTTTTTCATTTCTTTTGACATCACTATTTTTTTGTTCTCGCAAATCATGTATTTATTTTAAAACACCTATGAGAGAGAGAAGTCAATAATAATTTCACATATTTCAAATAGCAGATGTAAGCATTTTTGTTTTAGTTTAGAAAAACATGAATATTAATAAAGTTTTTTTAACTAAAATGGAAAATTTGAAGTACTAGGCTTTGTCTTATTTAACTTAAATTTTGTAATGTATGTAAAATCTTACTGTTTATTTCTATTACGCCTTTCTTTATTATTCAAAGAATCGACGATCATGTGTCTTTTTATTCTATGTACCTATTTTATTTTTTAATATTTCATTCATTACAAAATTAAAGAAAACACTTTTGAAACTTGGTTATTCGGTATTTATATGTCAGATAATGAGTAACCTCAGATTGTCATTGAGTGGCCAGATAATCGAGTTTCCACTGTCATTTTATATTTTATCTGTAGTGTAGTTGTCACAGAATGACAGTGTCTTTCGACAATTGCCAAAATTAATAAAATTGTACTTGTTTTTGTCTACGCAAGTAAAAATAAAACTTTTAGCGTATATAAACTTTATAGTTTTATTACTAAGCTTGTATTAGAAAACGATACATTTTGGTCAGCAAAGAACCGTAAAAGATTGTCTGTTTGTGATGACGGTCGACGGGTTATTCTTAAAGTTTCTCGTAAGAATGTAGATAACTTTTTTATTTAATGTTCAAAATTGTATTGCCATGAACGAAAAAGACTAATGTGTAATGTTTATATTAATGTAGGAGTGATAATACAATATAATTTCAAATATTTGTTAATTTTTATTTCAAAACAATTATTTAAATACCATTTCTTGGCTAAAATAATGCTCAGAAAGTGAAGTTTGGTTCGTTCCCTTTTTGGTTACGTTCATTTGCCCGTAGTAGGAGAGTAGTAGATATATAATCTGAGATTCGAACCTTTTAAACTAAGGGCCGAATTATAAAAAAAATGTTCTTACAACCCGATCTTCGATTATATTTTGCAACGACTAAATACATTATTTCGGCTCATCGTGTTGTTCAACAACGTTGTTGTTATAAGATGCATCTTTGACAAGACCAGCGCGCACCAACATATCCACTATAGGTCTTCGACTTTTGCGATCCGACAGTGGTTGGGATCTTACGTCTGAAATAGAAAATAATCTTTATCGTATACGTTTTATATATAAAACTATTAAACTGTTTATATATTATTAAATAATTCAAATCCTGGCGTATATTAGCAAATAACACTTAGCTCTTATGGCAAATGCAAACATAGTGACAATATTTGTGATGTGTGTTAGGAAAAAAACTCTTTACAAACAGTATTATTAAATACTAACCAATTGACTGCAACTCCTTAGTAGTAGTTTGCGGTCCTAATTCATACAGTACTTGGAAATCTGCGTGGTTCCCAAAGCGATACCCGAATCCAATGCGGTGATCGTTACCTAGAAATGTATTCATTTCATTAAATAAGCTAGATAAGAAAACAAACAATGATCCCAGTTGGATAGTCATTTAATTTAAAAATATTTGGATTTATAAAATTAACAAAAAAAGAAACTCGCATCCCCCAATTTAGTTTATTTACATTGAAATATTTTAATAAATTTGATAGCTTTTCTCGTAAGTTGACAAAAAATACTTTAAACAGTATACGAATCTCTATTTTTTAATAGACAAATAAATTAATGGATAGTTTTTTCTAATAAAACCTTTGCGTATAGGTGGTGCGAAACCGTATATAGTAGTAAACAGCATAGCTACATCTTCCGGTACCACGAGAAACCTCCCTTGCGTATCAGGACCTAAAAAGAAAGTTACATATTTTAATAATCAATCAGAATTATTCGTTGTATTTTTTTAAACTATGCAGGCATGCTACTATTTACTTACTAAGTTTGTTAATAAAGATATGCATGTAAAGACAGCACACACTATTTTTTTCTTGTCCCTTCTTTTTAGTTTATGTTTAATAAAACAAATATCTTTATTTCTAGATTGAATATTGTATGCAGTATATATTTTTTCATTTTAATTAGCTTATCAGTAGCAAATAAATGAAAAAATATATCCTGCAGCTACTTTATTATACAATATCTAAACAATAACATTATACACAGAAGCCAGAAACGGAATACTCTTTCGAACATAAACACAAAACACATTTAACAATATTATTATTACTTACTTATACAAAAAAATATATATATATATATATATACATATAAAATAAATTGTAAGATGCATCAGATCATTACAATATAAAAGAGAAATAACAAAGCCATTCTATCTGATAAAGGATATCAGAGTTTTTTATATTGTTTTTATGCATTTCTAAGTTATGACTGACATACGTAAATAGTTTGTATTAGACCGAGGAATTTCAAATAGACAAAAAGTCAGGACAGTCAATTAAACCGTTGCAAGTAGCGTGCCACAAAGCGTTTTGCCACGAACTTTAAACTTGAAAAGTCTTAATATAATAAAGCAATAATTAATAAGAAATAAAGCTAAAAAATTTACATAATATAAAAACGTAAATAAAATCCAATATGTTAGAACGGCTAGTTCATAAGTATAATGTCAGCATGCATTCAGTATATACATAAAGTTGGCAAAGATTTACGTCAGAATATTGGTCATAAGGTTACTTAATAGTGTAGTATTTAGCGGAGTGAGAACTTTTTGCTTCAGTAACTAGGCCAAGGATAATTTCCGTTTTTAACTTGCTTGTTAATGACGCCATCAACCCAATGTGTAGAGAAATACGGAAGAACAAGAATTGTTTATAAATATTATAGAATATTTTCTTATTCATTTTAATATATACGCCGCAAGAATTTATTGTTTCTGTAATCATTAGCTCTATTCATGTACAGCTTATAAATTTTAATTTGATTAATAAATTTTACATTAATTTTTTTTTAATTTTAGTTATTTGAAATAAAATTATTTTTGAAGTAAAATTATGTACACGTCTGTATATATCTATATTAAATTTGCATATCACAAATTATAAACTCAAATGCTAAAAATGTTTTACGTTAATTCTCTTATGTACCGGACCCTAAGGTCAGCCAGAAATGGGCTCACCCTATCAGTACACTTATGACTTACCTACGGTATTCTTACAGGTTCGGAGTATAATGTACTGAATATCATGGAGAATATCTGATTCTGGGTCTCGTAACTAGAATCTAAGTTGGAGGTCACAACTTACTACTGTTAGAAGTACCGCGCAACTTAGCGAGGCGTCGTAGAAGGATTATATGGAGGTGGACCTATATGGTTTGGCTGAGTTGACAAATCCACTCTTGTGAACTCCGCCAGAGTACAAATAAGTCCAGGATTTCGATTTCTATTATTAGTTATATATACGGTCGATAAGAACTTCGTATATTTATGTAGAAATTGTCCATCTGTATGAATTATTTGATTTTTCTATGACATTAGTAATAAATGTAAAGACAAAGAAATTATCGGGAAATAAATACACTTCCTGTGTACTACTTCCAAATTGTTCGTCCTAGTACTCGATACAGTAGAAATTTATCAATGTATCAATAAAAATAAATAGAATAGTGATATACAGGTACTTATATATATATAAAGCTTACTTAAGGGCCTGATAGACCAAATTATCCAAAGCTGGCGTTAATTGCAAAAATCGTGACCGCAACGAGGAAATGCCACCAACATTAATGGTACTTTTCCAAAGGGGCTAAACATCATTAATTTACACAATTTAATTAACATTACAGCATTATTTCATTAAATATGGGTGTTTATGACTAAAACATAAAGTACAAATTTACAGAATAATCATATTACGAATGGAACTGAAAAATGTAATAAAATCCGTGTCAGGCCTTATTTTATAATCGGTGCAGGCTCCGAGTGAATGTCCAGCCTTGGCACAGATTACAACTGTGCGATTGTCACTTATTTTCACACATGGACATAAACAATTGAACATTAAACAAAAATAATAACCCACTGGCATTTTGGATCTTCTTATCATATTCATTAATTTACACGACATTTTTATTAACCTTCACAACACGAGCAAAGATTAAGCCCACGTAGGAAGAAATTTCTTGATAAACATCTGGGGTTTGAATCCACGACCTCAATATTAGGACTCGCACGCTTAACTACTACGCCAATACTTTTATCATATAATAAACGAAATAATGTTCAATTGTTTCTAGTTAAATGGTATTAATGTATTGGCTTATGAGATTAAGAATCGTAAAATTTTTTTTCTTCTAAAATTCTTACTGTTTTGTAAAAAATAGTTTTAGGACATTTACCTACAATGTTTTATTATTAAAATGATGAAATTTAATTTATTTTAGCTTTAAATGATGCATACAATTCGATAAATTAATTAATTAGGTATGTGAACATGAAAAATTATTTATACTTCTATTTGTATCTTAAGTGCCTACGGCTTTTATACGCGACGACGCGCTTACGCATATTTTAGTTAAAGACGATAGAGATCGAGATAGTATTTATTGGGTAAATAATTTAAAAATCAACTAAAAAACAAATCACTATGAACAAAAAATAAGTATCAACATAACGTAAAGTAGAATAAAAAAACGACATAATATACTTACATTTAAAAAGAAAAATCACACAAGCAACTAATAAAACGCGCGCCATTTTTTGACAATCCTCAATTATGATTTTCAAACGCAGCTGTAGTCTATTCTTAAATGATCAATTATTATGGTGAGAAAACAGTAGGTCCTATTGTTAAGTTTATTAGGTATCTACTATATGCAAACTATTATATTGTCGGTTTGTTCACTACTTCTATTAATCAAATTAATGCACCCGGCATATAACTCGGCAAAGTTTGAGCACATTGCCACATTTGGCGAGAGATTGTCCCGCCTCTCTTCTGGGAATCGAGCCTCGCCTAAGATGTCCAAGGGAATTTTTGTCAGCCCTCCATTCTACCACTGCACAGGGAGGATGGGGGGGGGGGGGGGGGGGGGGGGGGGGGGGGGGGGGGGGGGGGGGGGGGGGGGGGGGGGGGGGGGGGGGGGGGGGGGGGGGGGGGGGGGGGGGGGGGGGGGGGGGGGGGGGGGGGGGGGGGGGGGGGGGGGGGGGGGGGGGGGGGGGGGGGGGGGGGGGGGGGGGGGGGGGGGGGGGGGGGGGGGGGGGGGGGGGGGGGGGGGGGGGGGGGGGGGGGGGGGGGGGGGGGGGGGGGGGGGGGGGGGGGGGGGGGGGGGGGGGGGGGGGGGGGGGGGGGGGGGGGGGGGGGGGGGGGGGGGGGGGGGGGGGGGGGGGGGGGGGGGGGGGGGGGGGGGGGGGGGGGGGGGGGGGGGGGGGGGGGGGGGGGGGGGGGGGGGGGGGGGGGGGGGGGGGGGGGGGGGGGGGGGGGGGGGGGGGGGGGGGGGGGGGGGGGGGGGGGGGGGGGGGGGGGGGGGGGGGGGGGGGGGGGGGGGGGGGGGGGGGGGGGGGGGGGGGGGGGGGGGGGGGGGGGGGGGGGGGGGGGGGGGGGGGGGGGGGGGGGGGGGGGGGGGGGGGGGGGGGGGGGGGGGGGGGGGGGGGGGGGGGGGGGGGGGGGGGGGGGGGCGGGGGGGGGGGGGGGGGGGGGGGGGGGGGGGGGGGGGGGGGGGGGGGGGGGGGGGGGGGGGGGGGGGGGGGGGGGGGGGGGGGGGGGGGGGGGGGGGGGGGGGGGGGGGGGGGGGGGGGGGGGGGGGGGGGGGGGGGGGGGGGGGGGGGGGGGGGGGGGGGGGGGGGGGGGGGGGGGGGGGGGGGGGGGGGGGGGGGGGGGGGGGGGGGGGGGGGGGGGGGGGGGGGGGGGGGGGGGGGGGGGGGGGGGGGGGGGGGGGGGGGGGGGGGGGGGGGGGGGGGGGGGGGGGGGGGGGGGGGGGGGGGGGGGGGGGGGGGGGGGGGGGGGGGGGGGGGGGGGGGGGGGGGGGGGGGGGGGGGGGGGGGGGGGGGGGGGGGGGGGGGGGGGGGGGGGGGGGGGGGGGGGGGGGGGGGGGGGGGGGGGGGGGGGGGGGGGGGGGGGGGGGGGGGGGGGGGGGGGGGGGGGGGGGGGGGGGGGGGGGGGGGGGGGGGGGGGGGGGGGGGGGGGGGGGGGGGGGGGGGGGGGGGGGGGGGGGGGGGGGGGGGGGGGGGGGCGCGGGGGGGGGGGGGGGGGGGGGGGGGGGGGGGGGGGGGGGGGGGGGGGGGGGGGGGGGGGGGGGGGGGGGGGGGGGGGGGGGGGGGGGGGGGGGGGGGGGGGGGGGGGGGGGGGGGGGGGGGGGGGGGGGGGGGGGGGGGGGGGGGGGGGGGGGGGGGGGGGGGGGGGGGGGGGGGGGGGGGGGGGGGGGGGGGGGGGGGGGGGGGGGGGGGGGGGGGGGGGGGGGGGGGGGGGGGGGGGGGGGGGGGGGGGGGGGGGGGGGGGGGGGGGGGGGGGGGGGGGGGGGGGGGGGGGGGGGGGGGGGGGGGGGGGGGGGGGGGGGGGGGGGGGGGGGGGGGGGGGGGGGGGGGGGGGGGGGGGGGGGGGGGGGGGGGGGGGGGGGGGGGGGGGGGGGGGGGGGGGGGGGGGGGGGGGGGGGGGGGGGGGGGGGGGGGGGGGGGGGGGGGGGGGGGGGGGGGGGGGGGGGGGGGGGGGGGGGGGGGGGGGGGGGGGGGGGGGGGGGGGGGGGGGGGGGGGGGGGGGGGGGGGGGGGGGGGGGGGGGGGGGGGGGGGGGGGGGGGGGGGGGGGGGGGGGGGGGGGGGGGGGGGGGGGGGGGGGGGGGGGGGGGGGGGGGGGGGGGGGGGGGGGGGGGGGGGGGGGGGGGGGGGGGGGGGGGGGGGGGGGGGGGGGGGGGGGGGGGGGGGGGGGGGGGGGGGGGGGGGGGGGGGGGGGGGGGGGGGGGGGGGGGGGGGGGGGGGGGGGGGGGGGGGGGGGGGGGGGGGGGGGGGGGGGGGGGGGGGGGGGGGGGGGGGGGGGGGGGGGGGGGGGGGGGGGGGGGGGGGGGGGGGGGGGGGGGGGGGGGGGGGGGGGGGGGGGGGGGGGGGGGGGGGGGGGGGGGGGGGGGGGGGGGGGGGGGGGGGGGGGGGGGGGGGGGGGGGGGGGGGGGGGGGGGGGGGGGGGGGGGGGGGGGGGGGGGGGGGGGGGGGGGGGGGGGGGGGGGGGGGGGGGGGGGGGGGGGGGGGGGGGGGGGGGGGGGGGGGGGGGGGGGGGGGGGGGGGGGGGGGGGGGGGGGGGGGGGGGGGGGGGGGGGGGGGGGGGGGGGGGGGGGGGGGGGGGGGGGGGGGGGGGGGGGGGGGGGGGGGGGGGGGGGGGGGGGGGGGGGGGGGGGGGGGGGGGGGGGGGGGGGGGGGGGGGGGGGGGGGGGGGGGGGGGGGGGGGGGGGGGGGGGGGGGGGGGGGGGGGGGGGGGGGGGGGGGGGGGGGGGGGGGGGGGGGGGGGGGGGGGGGGGGGGGGGGGGGGGGGGGGGGGGGGGGGGGGGGGGGGGGGGGGGGGGGGGGGGGGGGGGGGGGGGGGGGGGGGGGGGGGGGGGGGGGGGGGGGGGGGGGGGGGGGGGGGGGGGGGGGGGGGGGGGGGGGGGGGGGGGGGGGGGGGGGGGGGGGGGGGGGGGGGGGGGGGGGGGGGGGGGGGGGGGGGGGGGGGGGGGGGGGGGGGGGGGGGGGGGGGGGGGGGGGGGGGGGGGGGGGGGGGGGGGGGGGGGGGGGGGGGGGGGGGGGGGGGGGGGGGGGGGGGGGGGGGGGGGGGGGGGGGGGGGGGGGGGGGGGGGGGGGGGGGGGGGGGGGGGGGGGGGGGGGGGGGGGGGGGGGGGGGGGGGGGGGGGGGGGGGGGGGGGGGGGGGGGGGGGGGGGGGGGGGGGGGGGGGGGGGGGGGGGGGGGGGGGGGGGGGGGGGGGGGGGGGGGGGGGGGGGGGGGGGGGGGGGGGGGGGGGGGGGGGGGGGGGGGGGGGGGGGGGGGGGGGGGGGGGGGGGGGGGGGGGGGGGGGGGGGGGGGGGGGGGGGGGGGGGGGGGGGGGGGGGGGGGGGGGGGGGGGGGGGGGGGGGGGGGGGGGGGGGGGGGGGGGGGGGGGGGGGGGGGGGGGGGGGGGGGGGGGGGGGGGGGGGGGGGGGGGGGGGGGGGGGGGGGGGGGGGGGGGGGGGGGGGGGGGGGGGGGGGGGGGGGGGGGGGGGGGGGGGGGGGGGGGGGGGGGGGGGGGGGGGGGGGGGGGGGGGGGGGGGGGGGGGGGGGGGGGGGGGGGGGGGGGGGGGGGGGGGGGGGGGGGGGGGGGGGGGGGGGGGGGGGGGGGGGGGGGGGGGGGGGGGGGGGGGGGGGGGGGGGGGGGGGGGGGGGGGGGGGGGGGGGGGGGGGGGGGGGGGGGGGGGGGGGGGGGGGGGGGGGGGGGGGGGGGGGGGGGGGGGGGGGGGGGGGGGGGGGGGGGGGGGGGGGGGGGGGGGGGGGGGGGGGGGGGGGGGGGGGGGGGGGGGGGGGGGGGGGGGGGGGGGGGGGGGGGGGGGGGGGGGGGGGGGGGGGGGGGGGGGGGGGGGGGGGGGGGGGGGGGGGGGGGGGGGGGGGGGGGGGGGGGGGGGGGGGGGGGGGGGGGGGGGGGGGGGGGGGGGGGGGGGGGGGGGGGGGGGGGGGGGGGGGGGGGGGGGGGGGGGGGGGGGGGGGGGGGGGGGGGGGGGGTTGGGGGGGGGGGGGGTGGGGGTGGGGGGGGGGGGGGGGGGGGGGGGTTGGGGGGGGGGTTTGGGGGGGGGGGGGTTGGGGGGGGGGGGGGGGGGGGGGGGGGGGGGGGGGGGGGGGGGGGGGGGGGGGGGGGGGGGGGGGGGGGGGGGGGGGGGGGGGGGGGGGGGGGGGGGGGGGTGGGGGGGGGGGGGGGAAAGGGGGGGGGGGCGGGGGGGGGGGTGGAGGGTGGGGGTGGGTGGGGGGGGGGGGGGGGGGTGGGGGGGGGGGGGGGGGGGGGGGGGGGGGGGGGGGGGGGGGGGGGGGGGGGGGGGAGGGGGGGGGGGGGGGGGGGTGGGGGTGGGGGGGGGGGGGGGGGTGGTTTTTTGGGTGGGTGGGGTGGGGGGGGGGGGGGGGGGGGGGGGGTTTTTTTTTGGGGTTTGTTTGGGGGGGGGGGTTTTTTTTTTGGGGGGGGGGGATTTTGGGGGGGGGGGGGGGGGGGGGGGTGGGCGCCGCCGGGGGGTGGGTGTGCGGGGGGTGGGGGGGGGGGGGGGTTCGGGGGGGGGGGTGGTACCCCCCTGGGGTAGATTCTCGCTGATGACTCGCTGATCCCCACCGCAAGGAAGAAGCTCGACCTTTTGGGCTACGTCCAACTCGATTTTGGATGACCAAGGGAAGTCACCGCCGACCATTCCTCTGTGTGATTCTCCGATGTTCGGAAATCATATTCTGGCAACGTGCTGTCCGCAAAGCACCTTCCTTGGACATTCATAAGTCGAGCGGGCCTGATGGCATCTCCCCAATTGCGTATCTGTGCTCATGAGTTGGCTCTGGTCCTAACGCACCTTTTCCGGTACCTGTACTCGCTCGGCACTGTCTCGAAGTGCTGGAAGACCGCTTCAATACATCCGATCCCTAAAAAAGGCAATCGCTCTGATCCGTCCAACGATCGTCCAATAGCTATAACCTCCTAGTTCTCCAAAATAATGGACACCGTTGATAACGACCAGCTCCTGAGGTTTCTAGAGGGCCACCAGCTGATTAGCCATTATGACCTTCTTGTATACCTTA